TTCGTTCATTTCTGGATGAAGTTAATGCTAGCTATCGAGATTTATTACTGCATTCCGAAATCAGATGGTTAAGCGCAGGAAAATGTTTGCAACGTGTTTTTTGCGCTTCGGAAAGAAATTCCAGAGTTTTTAAAAGAGCACGTAAAAAAGTCATCAGATTTGCAAAATAAATTTAAAGATATAGAGTTTTTGAAAAATTTAGTTTGAAAAATTTATTCTAAATTTGAAACTTCAAAAACGCAATCAAACAATATCTGATTTAATAAGTCATGTAAATAGATTTTGCAATAAACTTAATCTATTTTTCATTGAAATATCTAAAAATGAATTCCATCATTTTCTTTGTTGCGAAGAAATTAAAAAAGAGTTTGTTAATGTTGATTTTAGTATAGGTATACAAATGTTAAAATGTGTCATTGATGAATTTGAACTCTGCTTCAAAGATTTTGATGTAATAAAACAGGATTTATGTATTTTCAATAATCCTATAAAAGTCAAAATACAAAATCAAGAATTAAAATATTGACAAGAGTTATGTGATTTACAGGCAGATGAATATTTGATATCCAGAACTGAAGTAGGATTAGAGTTTTTCAAGCTTTTATCGGAAGATAAATATCCAAATCTCGAAGATCTCGGGCTTCGAATTTGTTCTATGTTTGGATCCACTTATAACTGTGAAAGTGCATTTTCAATAATGAAGCATATTAAATCTTTGAAGCGTACTTCACTAACAGACTCATTACTTAAACATTCAATGCGAATTGCTGTCACACCGATATAGATATTTCAGCTGTTGTAGAAACTGTATGTTTGCAAGATTCACAATAATGTTCAAACTTGAATGAATAATTATGTTTCTCTATTTTCATACTTTTTTTTCATTACTTATCATTTCATTAATTCGATTAATTAAATATAACAAAACGCGTAAAATCAAAACTTTTAATAATAATTTCAAAAATTTTTAAATACAAAATGAAACAAACAAATTTTTTAAATATTAAAAAATCCATTAAAAAAATGAAAAATAAAACAAAAACCCATTACAAAAAAACGAGAAAAAGGAGCCAGCTCCCGCCACGTCCACGTCGTTGGCTCCGGGCACGGCAGAGAGCGGGAAATTAACTTTTAGGGAAGTTTTTTTTTTATTATAATTTATATGAAAAAAAATCTTTTATATGTAATTCATAATACTTTAATTAGCAACTCAACAAATTGATTGTATATAATAACTATTAAAATCTTCAAAACAATATCAATAACAATCATTACAAAAATACATTAAATTGTCATTATTAGCATCTTTAATTTTGAATACAGATTCTAGTAACATTAGAAAATAAACTATTCGATCTAATGGTTTAAGATTTTGTGACACTATTTTTTTAAATTAATATACAGAACTTGTTTTGAAAGAAATTAAACCTGACAGAAGCGAGCACGCGTAATTGGTGGTAAAAAGAAAATATTGAGTTTTAAATTTTAATTTGACATCTTTCTTGTTATTTCACCTTTGTGCAGTGCACACTTGCACACTTGCTTGCGACGGCCCTGAGCGCGCGCGATGTAAGGAGTGGAAAGCAGTCGTGGAAGGGGATAGCTTCAGGCGGAGAACCATATATGTAATACTCTTATATTGCTAGTACGGTGCCGACCTGAAGCTCACCGTTATGGTGCAGACAATATAGTAGCCTCTCTCTCCAGCTGCTTTGTGCGCATGCGGTGAACATTCAAGCACGCTTGCGCATTTCTCTTTCTCGCGTTCTTTCTCTCACTTTCTAATGCTTTGTCTTGCTCGCACTCACTTGGTAGATGCGCCTGCGCATAATGACGCTCGACCATCTATGCCCATATTTGGACTTTGTGCGTCTCCCTTTCTCGGGCTTCGTGCCTCTCATTGCGAAGATACGCGACTAGCAATATAGGAGTATTACATATATGCGGAGAACGTTTACCGGCGGAATCTTGGTGGAAAAACAGTCACGTGATCAGTTGGAAGGCTCTGATATAAGGTAATCAAAACAGACGGAACGGAACGCGCGGAAACACAGAAATCTAGTAAAGTCTAGTTACTTTTTACTTCCGCGTTTCCGCGTTTTCGCGCTTCATATACTGGCACCCTAAAGCCTGTTCTACATTGATCGCAAGCGCAAACGCAAGATATAGATCTCGTAGAATTGACCAATCACGCTGGTCAATTAGCTGATTTGATCAATACGATTAGTCAATTCTACCAGACCAGTTCCTTGCGTTTGCGCTTGCGATCAATGTAGAACAGGCTTAATAAAATCATACATATGTAAAGCCTGTTCTACACATAGAGCTTATACTCATGGAGAGGCCCTGCCTATATGCTAACCATAGAGAGGGCCGCGCCGGGAGGATCGACAAAGAGAGATATATTTGGATATATTTTGTCTCAACTGTGGCTCTCCCATTCCGTGTTCTCTGTTATTCTCTTCCATATATATAATACTCCTATATTGCTAGTCGCGTATTTTCGCAATGAGAGGCACGAGGCCCGAGAAAGGGAGACGCACAAAGTCCAAATATGGGCATAGATGGTCGAGCGTCATTATGCGCCACATGCGCACAAAGCAGCTGGAGAGAGAGGCTACTATATTGTCTGCACCGTAACGGTGAGCTTCAGGTCGGCACCGTACTAGCAATATAGGAGTATTATATATATGTTCTCTTCTATAAGAAGTGGCCACAATTGAAACAGAAAAATATATCTCTCTTTGTCGATCCTCCTTGCGCTCGCAGGGCCTCTCCATGAGTATAAGCTCTATGGTTCTATATTGATAGCAAGCGCAAACGCAAGGAACCGGTCTCGTAGAATTGACTAATCGTATTGATCAAATTAGCCAATTGACCAGCGTAATTGGTCAATTCTACAAGATCTATCTCTTGCGTTTGCGCTTGCGATCAATGTAGAACGGGCTTAAGAAAAAGAGATTTACCCAGAAATAAAATTATCCCACGTCGGTGAAGTTGCTATTGGCATGACGTCGGATACGCCATCATCAGTTATAATGCTCCACCATATTAATATTGCTGTTAACGTAACTGCTACGCTAGAAAACGCCGTCACCCATCTATAAATTATTATTATTCTGTATAATTATTATTATTCTGTATATGTACATTATTTTATATTAATAGAAAAGACTTTTTTCTCTTACTTCATGTCTCGTGGACTGCCCAACCACATTAATGGACAAAGTAAAATGCCGATTATTAACAGCCAATAACAGAAGGAAAAATCAAAATGTAGTCCCGACACTTTATAGCCAAATAATTGCAAGTTCTGCGAGGCTGGAAAATAAGTTTAACGAAATAATTGCGTAGAAGAAAAAAATGATTAACCATATAGATGCATTAAAGCTTTATTTACAAATTTATAAAAAAAAGTGTACATCCTGTATATAGGCTATATGTATATTAGGTAAGCTCTCTTGAAAATCCAAATTGCTAAATTTATTTAGGAGGATTTGTCATTAAAACCTAACAAAATAAAAAGGATGAAAATACTTCAGCTAATAGCGTATAAATGTTTATTTTATTTTTATTTTATTTCACTAACGTGATACAAATGACAAAGAACAAATCTTTTGCTCATTACGTTTTATCTAACACATAATGTGAAAACAGCTTTTTCTTATTACCTACCAACTAACAAATTCGGAATACCGCAACCGAACACTGTCAAATCCAAAAGTAAGGTAACAATAGATCGTGCAAGAGGACCCATTGTTAATTCCGTCACAGCAGCTAGGGGATAGCTGCAATTTAAATCTCCAAAACATATAAAACATGCATTTTTAGGTATTAATGATTAACATCTAAAAAGATATATCTGTATTTAAAAGAATGTTTAAAAGAAATGTTCAAGATGGGATATCAAATATTTAAGTGCACAACAATATATATATATTTTTTTATTTTTATTTTAACTTAAATAAGTACCGATTTTTTCGTGAAATCTGAGGATCCAGAGTATTCGCGATGATCCACGATTTTCCCAGTAAAATGGCTGTATAAATTTGCAAACCGAATACAACAAGTACCAAAGGGATCCCATATAGTCCTAATAATATATAAGTTTTCTTAATAATATATATTTTTTTTTATATAAATATGTTAAGAAAACATACAAAATTATTTTTTAGAACAAGAAAAATAATTCTTTTTTGTACTACCGATTAAAAGGTAGATATTCTGTTTTTTAAAGATATTTAAGACTAATAAATAAAGCTAATTTTTGTGCAAGAAAAAGAGCACGATTTGTATATTAATTTTCACACAAGAAAATCACACACGAAACATACTAATATTATACGCATAATATTACTTACATAATATTACACACACACACACACACACACACACACACACACACACACACACACACACACACACACACACA